ATTCCCAGGTTTCTTGACAGACATAGAGACTTCAGCTTTAGGTGCTGTCAATAGTGACTTACAGCAATATGAGTAGAATTACCCACATCGGGTTTTCTAGGCTCTAACCTTTACGGGAGCTAACTGACAGGTGGTTTTGAACTGCTAACCTTGTGGTTAGTAGCCCAATGTGTAACCCAACAGGGCACCAGGGCACCTACCCCTAAAGAGCGGTTCTCAACCTGTGGGTCGCAACCCCTTTTTGGGGGTCAAACGACCCTTTCACAGGGGTCGCCCAATTCATCACAGTAGCAAAATCACAGTTATGAAGTAGAAATGAAAATAATTTTATGGATGGGGGTCACCACATGAGGAACTATATGAAAGGGTCGCAGCATTAAGAAAGTTGAGAACCACTGACCTGGAGGATTACAAATAAAAAAAAGCATGGAACCCACAAACCACAGGAGGACATTATTTCAAGAACTGAAGAGTCAAACACTATTAAGAGTTCAAGGAAGACAAGGACAAAAGCATCCATCTGCGTTCTCCACATGGGCGTCATTCAGACATCGACTAAGCTATTTCATGACACACAGCTGGAGTCTGGGGCTGGGTGGGCAGGAAGATGTCCCTGAAGAGACAAGAAGATCCAGAACATAGGAGAGGGACTGGCCACAAGAAGGAGGAAAGATGTACCTACTTCCATTGTAACTGAAAACAGAGGGGTCAAGAGAAAAAAAGATAGTTCTAAATATGGTTTAATTTTTTTAAGTTTGATGAAAGAAACAAACATTTGAACCTGATGAGTTTGACTTAAAAAAAAAACTAGGGAAGGTGAAGGTCATTTGTTGAGATTGAAGGGATAGTAGAATCCATTTTGAAAAGAGTAGAGATTAGAAAAGATTTAAATACTCACCATGGAGAATGAGAAAGAGAACTAAATCGGAAAATTAGAAGGCACAAGTGAGGATTATTTACCCTGTGAAATCTGCTGTGATGGATCCCACTATTCCATATACTGTGTTGAGCTTTTGTTGTCTCCTCCCCCTTAGTCCCCTGCAGCAGTCTCTATTACACTTCACACCCACTGCACTTAGAAGTGCTTTCCTCACGCTCCATGACACAAGCCGACACACTGCCTTCAGGTTAAATCCAACACAGCAGCCTTTAGAACAGAGAAGTGTCCTGCCGTTTCTAGGACGATAAATCTTTAACATTTTTAATTAATTAATTTTTCTTCCAAGACCTTTTACTGGGAGCTAATACAGATATCATATCATTCCATCAAGCAGTGTTGTACAATTGCTACCACATTCAGTTTCAAAACATTCTCTTCCTTCTTGAACTCCTTGACACACACACACACACACACACACCCCAGGAACCCTTATTCTACCTGCTGTCTCTATAGGCTCATCAATCCTAGGTTTCATATATTGAAAAACAGACAAACATATGACAAAATTCAATGACAAAAGACACCAGAGCTAAACCCTAATATGAAACAAACAACAAAAACCAAAATAAAGATTGAAACCAGATCAGGCCCCACACGTATGGGGGGACCAACTGACACGGCTTTAACTGTTCAAGTAAGGTTTATCATTGATCTCCTATAGTCTTCTCTCCAATGGACTCTGTTTTGTAACCAGTTTAATCCCATCCCCCCATTATGGACAGAGGGAAATCACCGGAGGCTTATTCCTGCATAGATCTCACAGATGTATCTTGGGCTCCCAAGTCAACCATAGTTTTCTGCAAACCAGAATCTCACAATTTGGGCTCTGATACTATTTCTTCCTTCAGCTTTGAACTCTCCCTAGTAGTGGCTTCACTAAGGAGATGTGTCCGTTGTGGGCCACATAGGCTGACATTGTTAGAGGGCGTGAGACACAATGACCATTCGTACAATTTTTCAGCAGTGTTTCAGCAAAAATCTATTATTTCTAATAAAGTAGTATATCTCTCTAGTTAGTATTAACAACAAAAACAGTCTTTGTAAGCCTAGTTTACATGCATGGAGTACAATGAAAAGTTCTACTCCCATAAAGACCTGCACTCTCAGAAAACTGTAAGAGTAGTTCTACTCTGTCTTAGAGGGTCACTAAGGACCCTGGGGGTCCTTAATGGCAGTGAGTTAGGTTTTGAATGAGTTTATATACATCACTTGAGATACCTACAGGCTAAAATTCCGTCCTAGTCTACTTTTTGAAACTTCTAAGGAACACTGGTTGTACTGCCAAGTAAGCAGTAGGCTACTAAGCACAAGGTTGGCAGTTCAAACCTACGAGCCACTCAGAGGGAGAGAGATGAGGCTACCTCAAAAACCCTATACAGTATTCCTATGAGTACGAATCAACTCAATGGCAGTGGGTTTTTATAAAGCACTCAGGTCAGACCTGTCATTAATATACAATTACAATGATGCTTTCTTTGAATCACAAGATTTAGGCTGCATGCTACAAGTACACACACACTAGTGCTTCCACTGCTGCTGGTATTTTTATTGTTGCTGAATTTGTCACATTTTTCTGGTGTTCTACCTACAATTTATAAGCAGTTTTTGTGAAATTATATATCAACAACTTTTTTTTATAATGAAGTAGTAAATAAAGGAAAAGGAGAAAAATTTAAAAAGGTTTCCATTCACTAACAATATTTCAACTAATAATGCTGTAATTCAATGTAGAAAGATTTTGTACAATTTTTGCAGAGTATTCCTATATTTAAGAAATATTAGATTCAAGTTAAGTTTAAAACTATACTTGTCACATAGTATTCACCAGTTAAACTTGACAATGAAGTTTATTAGCCTGCAGGATTGGGATCATAGTCACAGGGCCAATTGGAATTACATAGTTCACAAAGACAATGATCGATAGCCTAATTTGATGAGTAGTGACTGGTGGGGGGGAGGTCTTAAAAAGCTGCAGGTAGTCCTCTAAAGTTAACTACTGATCTCTCCCCAATCAGAGCAAAGAGTGAAGAAAACCCGTGTTTCAGGGTAGCAAACAGTCTAAAGGACTAATGCAATACACAGACCAGAAGAACTTGATGGTGTCTGGCTCCCAACTGCTAACCACTCTGAAAAGGAATCAAAACGGAAGGGCCCAGAGAGAATGGCAGAAAAATATGGCAGAATAATTTTTTTAAGACTAAGTTTTTGGCATCCCATGATGCTCACCTTCCTGGCACAATCGCTGAAGACAAAGCACGTGCATAAGCAAATGTGAAGAAAGCTGATGCTGCCTGGCTAGCTAAAGATATAGCATCTGGGGTCTTAAAAGGCTTGACGGTAAACAAGCGGTCTTCTAGCTCAGAAGCAACAAAGCCCACATGGAAGAAGCACACCAACCAGCCTGTGCAATCACTAAGTGTCGAAGGGATCAGGTATCAGGCATCATCAAATCAGTGTGAATGAGGGGGAGGGCAGAGTGGAGGACCAAAGCCCATCTGTAGGCAACTGGACATCCCCTTACGGAGGGTCATGGGAAGGAGACAAGCCAGTCAGGGTGCAGTGTACCAACAATGAAGCATACCACTTTCCTCTAGTTCCTAAATGCTTCCTCCCCTGCTCCCTACTATTATGATCCCAATTCTACCTTGCAAGTCTGGTAGACCAGAGGATGTACAGTGGTACAGATAGCAACTGGAAACACAGGGAATCCAGGCCGGATGATCCCTTCAGGACTAGTGGTGAAAGTGGCGATACCAGGAGGGTAGAGGGAGGGTGGGGTGGAAAGGGGGAACCAATTACAAGGATCTACATATAACCTCCTCCCTGGGGGACGGACAACAGAAGGGTGGGTGAAGGAAGACGTCGGACAGTGTAAGATATAACAAAATAATAATTTATAAATTATCAAGAGTTCATGAGGGATGGAGGGGAGGGAAGCGCAAAAATGAGGAGCAGATGCCAAGGGCTTAAGTGGAGAGCAACTGTTTTGAGAATGATGAGGGTAATGAATGTAAAACTGTGCTTTACACAATTGATATATGCATGGATTGTGATAAAAGTTGTAGGAGCCCCTAATAAAATGATTTTTTTTAAAAAGACTAAGTGGCCTGATGGAGACTCACTCTTCAGGACTAGAACTGAATTCACCCCCATGGCTCAACTTACAGGCAAAAACAAACAGTTCTATGAGATGACCAATAACACCAGGCCGGTATGCACCACTTAGAACAACCAACCATATGGAATGAGAAGAGCAACATCCGCCCTGGGATAATACTCAAAATGCTGGGATGGAGGGGAAAAGACAAAAGGTCAACAAAAAGGATGTGGGAAGACCGTTGTTACATCCGGGGTACAACAATTAATGTCATGAAACAAAATGGGTGTGAACTGCTGAATAGAAAACCAATTTGCTCTGTAAACCTGCACTCAAATCACAAACAGAAGTTTTAAAAAGAAGGGGGACGGGATTAAGCATTACGAAGGATTCTGTATGGTCTGCATACAAGGAGAAGTACTGGTTGACATCAACCCTGCCACCACTTCTGTCCAATGTTATGAATTATCGGCTCGTAAGAGAAAAAAAAAGACTAAAAGAGAAGCCACTTGGATAGAGTAAGAATTTGTTGGGGGGGGGGGCGTTTCCAAGTCTATTAAAGAACAAGGTATTCTTTCATTAAGGGTTTATCATCTGTCCTTTTACACTGCTGACGGAATCGAACGTCTGGCTCTCCAGTCACGAACCGCAGCAGCAGCCAGTGGCGGCCAACGTGGGCAGCCGGGTGCAGGGTCTCGAAACTTCAGGGAAACTGCACACGTGGCAGCTGAAAGGATGCGCCAACACAAAGCAGAGGTGCCTCAAACATCCGGACTGACGGGCGCAGAGAGTTTCTAGGGAAGCAGTTGGGCGAAACCAGCACCTGACCGTCGGAGGGGGAGTGGTCACGTCGAAACCGGAAAACTTTCGGCAAAAGCAATGGGCCGAGTCCATCCTGGTGGCCCCAGAGCAGAGCAAGACAGCCGCCCAGGCCCACCTTCTGGCCGGACCCGGATCCCTTACCGTCTTGCAGAAGCTCCCGGACTGTGGCCGCAGCTGCTCCGGAGCCCCGAGCCCCAAGGCCAGCCACAGCGACGCCGCTGTCACCCGCTTCCATGTTGGCGGGCGCGAGGTGGATGACGTCAGCAGGGCCCTGGCGCGCGTGGTGACGTAAACTCCAGGCGCCGCACGCTCCGCCCAGGGAAGGCCTGGGGTCTCGCTCGGAGACGGTGCTTGCCCGGCGTGTGGCTGGAGCCCGCGTGGGTTCCAAGGTAGCGGGTGCCGAGAACCCAATTGCGCCGGGAGAACCGGGGGCGTGGGCTGGGGCTTCCCGCCGCAGCTCGGAGCAGGGCCCCTGGACTAGTGTCGTTCTCCGAGCCGAAGGGCACGTGGCCGCAGCGCGCTTCTCTGCCACTGGCTTTGAACCTCGGCTGCCAGGGGCCTCTCGGCCGAAGACCCGAGGGGAGGACGAAGGTGTCGGGAGCTCGGCTCGCCCGCTACAGTCAGAGCAGACGGGAGGTAGTTGCCCCCCATCTCATCTGTCACACTCTTCGGTACGCAATCCTGGCGTGCAGGCGGGCGGGAAAGTTTAGGAAGGAAAGTTGGAGAGGCTGAGTAGTGAAGAGAGCTTTGGAAAGCTCAGACTTGATAAAGATGGTGTTGTTCACTCTCTCTCCACCCTTCCTAGCGTGTGATCTTAACCTTGGGCTTTTTCTACGTCCTCTCGACTTCAACCATGTGCGGAGACTCCAAAATTTTTCTTGGTTGCAGACTGATAGACTGTCCTTATCTCAAATAATAGTGTTGAGCCTGCGAGGTCAAATTAGTTCCCATAATCTTATTGTTTGATATACATGAATTAGTGACCGATATTCGCTATTTCTCCCAATATAAGTACAGTCATGCACGACAGAACGTCCTGTAGGGCTACAAAGGATGTGGGACCGTATATGCATTAATGGTTATTTTGTTATGCAATCGCGATTGGAGCCAGCTGAATGGAAGTGCCCGTTTTCAAACTCAGTAGCTCATGTCTCTTATATCCCATGCCATTGCGCTGCCAGGCCACTGTGGTGGAACTCCTTGCCATGAAGTCTACTTCAGCTCCTAGGAACCCTGTAGGAGAGTTTACTCCCACAGGGTTCCCAAGGCTGTAATCCTTGCAAAAGCTGACTCCCACATCTCTGTCCAAAGAAAGGAGAGGCAGATGGGTTCAAACTAGCAATCTTTCAGTGAGCAGTCTTGTGTATTAGCCAGTGTGCCACCAAAGCTCTTTCACAATGGGACTCTACATCCTATCATACATATGTCTTGATGGTCATAATAAATTACTGACTTATCCATGTCATGTTCTATCGTCATTTTATTGTGACCATTCCCTACTTAAAAATAAAGTTACTGCCTAATAGTATATGTTTCAATTTACAGACAGCAGCATCCAAGCTCATGCATCCAGTGTTTCTTGAGTGTTGTGGCATTCTCCATCTGCTTGTTTTCGTTTGAAAATAGTACGCAGGGGTGCATCAGGGCTCTGAAACACAGCCGAACTTGTGCTAGTGACCGAGAGCAAGAGACAGAGTAGGAGCATCTAGCAAAAAGTGAAACAATGGGGAGGATTTATTTATATATATAAATAAATGGGATTTAGGCAAGTTCAAACAATGTCCACATCACATCATTTCACAGACTGTATTATGAATTTTATGAACATTATGTGATGCAGGACTACTGATTAACCAATCTACACCTATGCCAGAAGTCTAAAGCATTTCCAAGTTTAAAAAAACAAACAAACACCTGTAACTTGCATTTCTGTATAGGAGGTGTGTAAACAGGGAAACAGTTTTTGATTCTGTTAATAGTACTTCTAGTAGGTGTTAGAGTAGGCCTTACTCTATGCCTAACACCGTTGGCAGCATTTTATAAATCTAAATGCATTTACTACTCATAACTCAACCGGTAAGCCTCAGGATACGCTATGCTGTTCTTTTCTTGTCCGAGGTGTTTCCAACCTGTTTCATATCTGCCATGATGTGAAGCTTGATGATCTGAGTGTAGGTTATGTGAATTGCCAAGGGGCATGTGCTCTGATGTACCTTAGGTTTTCCTCACCCATAATACACAAAGTTAATTTGCTCTTAATAATATTTGAGTATTAATGAAGAGTGTTATCTTTGCATCGTGGGGTTATTTTCTTTTCTTGACTTTTATTTACATTGTAAGATGAGAGGAGTTACACAACGTTCTTTCAATGATCTGTCCTGAGGCAGTATACGTACTGGTAGACCTTTACAGACATCAGACACAATCCCCATCCAAATGAAGTTATTGATAATGTAGATAGTCATTTAAACAATTGTGCCAGGTGCTATGGAGCATATAGATTCACTTATTCCAGTAATTCCAAGTTTTACAGCACATCGAAATCACCTGGGGAGCTTTAAAGTACAGATGCCTGTACCTTACACCCAGCAATGTGCATTTCATTCCCAAAGGGCAAAGTTTCTCAACCAGTGGGTCAACCCCTTTGGGGGTTGAACAACCCTTTCACAAGGGTCACCCAGTTCAAAACAGTAGCAAAAACAGTTATGAAGTAGCAACAAAAATAATGTTATGGTTGGTGGAGTCACCACAACATGAACTGTATTAAAGGGTCGCGCATTTGGAAGGTTGAGAACCACTGCTCTAGGGTATGGCTGGTGGTATAGTGGCTACATGTTAGCCTGCTATCTGCAAGGTCATCAGTTTGAAACCAGCCACTCTGTAGGAAAAAGATGAGGCGGCTTGCTACTAATGTAAAAAGATACAATCTCGGAAACCCACTGGGGTAGTTCTACCCTGTTCTATCGGGCTGCCATGAGACAGCATCAACTCGATGTCAGTGAGTTTGATTTTTGTTAGGAGGGCATGGCTTGGGAATCCTGAATCTGTAAAACCCCCAGATCCTGCAACCGCACTTAAAAGCTACTGATTATATTGTTAGGTACCGTGGAGTTCATTCTGACTCATAGCCTCATTATACAGTCACCAAATAATTTCTTGAGAAAAGCCTTTTTTGTGTGCTAAAGATTGAAGCTATAAAAACGAGAATGAATGAAGTTGTTCTGCATAAGGTCAGGCATGACCTAATTGCCATTGGACACTTTCAGTCATTACCGTACTTTCCTTGTAAAGTGATGTCACAACCCTTTCCTCTCTGCAGCACTCTCCTCTCTCGGTTTTCGAAAAACACTTTTCAGGTTGAGTCCTCCCAGCTGCAGAGTTCGTCTTGCTCCATTTCCATTGTGTTCTCCTTGGTTCTGTTACTGACATGTTATTTCTTGCAAGTTCTGCCATTGTTGAAGACCTCAAAGTTTTTAGTTTCAAAGTATTGCCTCAAAACTAAACAGCTTTCTAGCTGTATAATCACTGATGAGGCATCACCGCTTGGATATCCCATGTTCACTGAAACCCAAATATAAGTCCATGTTTACCTGCTAAACCTGCTCTTTTCCCTAATTCTACCTCATTGATTGGCAATGCCATCTATCCATTATAGGTATTACAAGAAGCCTTCATGATGTCACAGTTAAAGTCAAAATTTTTGTTTTAATCATTTTATTGGGGGCTTGTACAACTCTTATTACAATCCATGCATACATCCACTGTGTCAAGCACATTTGTACATTTGTTGACATCATCATTCTCAAAACATTTGCTTTCTACTTGAACCCTTGGTATCAGCTCCTCATTTTTCCCCTTGCTCTCCACCCCCCCATGGACCCTTGATAATTTATAAATTATTATTATTTTGTCATGTCTTAACACTGTTCGACATCTCCCTTTACCCACTTTTCTGGTGTCCGTCCCCCCAGGGAGGTGGTTGTATGTAGATCCTTGTAATCTGTTCCCTCTTTTTACCCCACCTTTCATCCACCCTCCCGGTATCCCCACTCTCACCAGTGGTCCTGAAGGGTTCATCTGTCCTGGATTTCCTGTGTTTCTAGTTCCTATCTGTACCAGTGTACATCCCCTGGTCCAGCTAGATTTGTAAGGCAGAATTGGGATCATGATAGTGGGAGGAAGCATTTAGGCACTGGAGGAAAGTTGTATGTTTCATCATTGCTATACTGCACCCTGGCTGGCACATCTCCTCCCCACTACCCTTCTGTAAGGGGATGTCTAGTTGTCTACAGATGGGCTTTGGGCCCCCACTCCACACACCCCCTCATTCACACTGATACGGTTTTTTGTTCTTTGATGCCTGCTACCTGATCCCTTCAAGACCTTGTGATCACAGAGCTGGTGTGCTTCTTCTGTGTGGGCTTTGTTACTTCTAAGCTAGATGGCC